CAAAGGCAGGTAGTTCAGAACCACGAGCTGCTCCAAGGGAGAAAGATGGAGGAGTCTCCTACCATGGGATTTACAGTCTCTGAAAATCTGCCTAGGGTCGGCTGTGTGTTGGCCCTGACTCGATGGCACATTAACAACAACAACATATAAATCTGTGAACAGTTTTCAAGATTCATAGTTACCATGGTCAAGGAAATGCTTTGTCTTTTCCACTTTAGTGCTTCATTTCTAGACTAGCACGTCTTTACATGTGTCAAGCTACTGACTGGACTTGGGGGTACACGTGCAATTTGTAGCTCCAAATATAGTTCCTCGCCCTATTTGGGGGTACACGTGCAATTTGTAGCTCCAAATATAGTTCCTCGCCCTAGTGTAAATTAATAGCATTAACTGAGCAGAATTTATAGACAAATAGAAACTCGTTTGGGCCTTGTTACACTTCTCTCCTCTCTACCAGAATGTTATATTACCTAGCATTCTAGTTTTCCATTAAGGAGAGGTTGTTGACATTATTTTTATATCCAAGAAATCCTTTCTAGCCTACAGAACAAAAGCTTTGTAAAACAATTACCTTAAATTATGAGCATGTCTTATATAATTAAATAATTCTACAACTACCTGTTTCCCATGTGTTGCAGCCTCACCCCACATACCCCCTGAATGTGTGTATGCAGCAAAGACAGGATGGGGGTGCAGAGGGGTGCTATGCTTTAGGTTGGGGGTCACCAGTGAGAGGGTCTGCCCTGCTTGGAGATCCTAGTTCAGAATTGATTGACTCATTAGCATTATGAAATCTAGCAGCAGAAGAAAAATAAACCACATCTTAAAAGAAGGAAAACAAAGTTGTGGTATCAAGGAAGTCACAATTAAAAACTGTTTCAAGAAGGAAGTGGTAATTAGTAACTATTATGATTAGAATAATCAAATGTTGTAAGATGATTATGTAATTTCTTGATCACTAATAAGTTGCATGTGAAATTAAAAAAATAAGGAAGTGGTAGCCAGTTATCTTAAGAAGTTGAGAAGGAGGATGAGGATAAAGAACTGATTTTTTTTTTTCGTGTTTGGCACTAGAGTGGTTATCAGAGACCTTATGAGTAGTTTTGGTGAACTAGTAAATTCAGAAACTCTTCTTTAAAAAACACACAAGAGGTCAGAAAATTACAACACATAAATATTCTTTTTCCAAGAGTATTGATATCTTTTAGGGAGCTCTGGTGGCCTAGTGGCAAGAAGCTGCATTGCAGTCCCAAAGGCCCGAAGGCATGTGGTTTGAATCCAGCAGATGCTCTGCTGGAGATGGAGGGGCAATCTCCTCCTGTGCCAGTCAGATCTGATTCGACCATACACAAGGAGAAAGTGGGGGGGGGGGAGTTGAGTATAGAGATCTTTTTCAAGAGTGTGTGTGTGTATGTGTGTGTGAGAGAGAGAGAGAGAGAGAGAAGAGGGAGGGGGAGAGAGAGAGAGAGGAAACTGATAAATTGATAAATAACATGGTCTTTGCAATCACTTGATATGCATCAACAAGCTGGATAATGACTAGAGATGATAGAAGGAGAATTGATGCCTTTGAGCTGTGGTGTTGGAAGAGTATTGAATATACCATGGACTGCGAAGAGAATGAACAGGTTTGTCCTTGAGAGAGTTAAATTAGGCTGCTCCTTGGAGGCAAGGATTCTGAAGCTTCGTCTGACATACTTTGGACATGTTGCAAGGAGGGACCAGTCCTTGGAGAGGGACGTCATATTTGGGAGGGTGAACGTGGGACAGTGCAGGAGAAGAAGACCCTTGATGAGATTAATTGATTCAGTGACTGGGGTAATGGGGGTAAGTATGTCAGAATAAAATTGGCAAAGGATAGAGCAGGGTTTAGTGCTGTTGTACATAGGGTAGCCATGAGTTGCAGGCAACTCAATGGCACATAACATCAACAACAACAATGCAATATCTAGAGGAGAATATGAGATCTTGGAAAGTTTTCCCCTAAGAATGTAAGAAATGTGTGATATCTCCAAATCTCTTTCCTGACTCTACTGATTTTGAAACATTAAAAAATTATATTTCTTTTATTACATAAATAATTAAAATTTATTTATTTATCTTCATTATCATTTTCACCACCCTAATCTACCATCACCTCTACTATTCATAGTCGTGGTTCTAGCTGACCCTTTACTTTCACTATCTTATTGTTATTGTTATGTACCATAGAGTCAACTACAACTCGTAGCAACCCTATGAGCAATGGCTTTGAACCCTGCCCTATCCTGAGCCAACCCCACCATCTCTGACACACCTGCTTCCATTGCCACAGCCACTGTGTCAATCTATCTCATCCAGGGTCTCCTCTTCAGCACTGACCGTCTACCCTAATCTGTCACAAGACTTTCGAGTATGGCTCATTGCAACCCTATGACCAACAGATCTGAACCCTGTTCTGTCCTTTACCATCCTTACAATCTCTGATACACTCAAGACCATTGCTGCAGTCACTGTCAATCCACCTGGTTGAGGGGCTTCCTCTTCTTCACTGTCTGTCAGCCTTCCGAAGCATGATGTCCCTCTCCAAGGAATAGCAGCCTCTCCTAGCAATATGTCAAAGTATGAGAGATGAATCATTGCCTCCAAGAACACTGTAGCTGCACCTTCTCCAAGATGTATCTCTTTGCTCTCTTGGCATGCTATGGAACATTGAGTACTCTTTTCCAACACCATAGTTAAGAGGGATCAATTTTTCTTCTGTCCGTATTCATTGTCCAGCTCTCAGCAGCATAGCCACTGATTGACCACAGTACTTGCTATTATCTCAGCCTAGAATATTCTTCCTCTCACATCACCCCTTCTATATGATACTCTGCCTAATACTATTACTGTTTCTTTAGATTCTCAGTTCAGTCATGCCTTTCTTGGGAAGCTTCCCTGACCTCTCTCACTAGGTTAATTACTTTTGGTATGCACTTATACAGTACCAGGTAACTTTTCTACACTTTTCACAATTGTAATTTTTAATTTTACTGTAGTCATTTTATTAGCGTCTGTCTTCTCTACTAAAACTCCGTAAGAGCAATGATAGTTTCATGAGGATAATGGCTATGTAAAACCTGGCATAAGGTAGATACTAAAAACAGATCCATCCTTGTTGTTTGTTGTTATGTGCCGTCGAGTTGCTTGCGACTCATAGCGACCCTATG